CGATCAGAATCTGGCTGCTGGGAAATGGCCCAGAAAAAGACGCTCGCTTCGCTCTTTTCCGTCCTTTCTACACATCACTTCTCCGCTCCTCCTGCTCTTTGCCCCTCGGCTCAGGCGTTAGCAGCCAGAGCTCCTGTGCGGGGATACCTATGTTTTTAGCGGATGGACAGACTTCAAGCCTGGCGCCTGCACAGAGAAAAGAGAAGATCGGTCATGCAAATGCAAAACAGTGGAACTGAAGAGACTAAAAATAATACACGGAGGCGAAACATGGGGGGAGACGTCTAATTTGTGTTTGCTCTGTAGAGGAAAGCAAAGAAGCTGTGAAGTAAAAATAAAGCTCAATAAGCTGAATAGCCTATTTATTTTTATTGCTTTTGTTTACTCTACTCATTAATCCATATTATTAAGTCATTTAATTTCTTGAGAATTAAATACATTTCTGCTCGTTAAATCCAAAAAAGTGAGCTAAGCTGCTAAACAGACACCATGGCTTTTATTTATTAACCTTAATTACACCAATAATTAAAAACCACTGTACAGTGAAATTAGGAAATAAAGCTACTCTTTGTTGCACTTTCTGCTACAAGGAATTTTTCTATTCCCGAAGTTAAGACCCGACCTTCATTTCAAATTGCACATAATTCAATCATACACTCAGCCTTTTGTGTATCTTTTCCAGGATTATTCACTAAACTGGATAATTACAGTGAATATGAAGCAGGTTGGCCTGCTCCCAAGCCCATAGAGCAGCACGGCGGTCGGACCTATAGAACGGGGAGAGATGTGAGGGAGAACGGTTAAAGGAGGTCAGAGGATCGAGCATTAGCGCAACCGCCTCGGAAGCCCGATTGCACGGAGTTTACCAGCGATTCCTTACACTCCGCACACTCCCCTCTTCTTTTCACTTTTCCTCTGTGACACACGCACGCATTAAAAAAAAAAAGCTGGAAAAACGAGGGGTTCTGAAAATAGGCCCGGACGCCACAGCGCACATTAAAACGCGGCAGCGTCACTGACGCTGTGCTGTCATGTCAGAGGGGCTTGCCGATGCTCAAACTTTATTGGACGCATTATTTCAAATGACAACAAAGCGTAAGAAAGTTTCCGTTGAAAGCGTCGGAGCAGCAGTGTTTTTCACGCCACATGAATGCGGCTCCCTCGGTGCCGACACTCTCTGTTCCTCCGTCGGCCCGGGTTACGGAGCCGTGCCAGAACGCTGGAGCGCAATTCTGCGCTCCATCCAGACATCTCTGTTCTGCGCAACACGCAGATCCAAGAAAGAGAAGACAGAGTATTTTTCCTGCTTTAACCATTGTACCTCCTCCTTCTCTTCTGCTTCTGCAAACACTCAGCCAACGGCAAACATAACACGACTGCTACTTCTGCTTTAATATTCCAGCGTATTGCCTCTATGGACCGAGCTTGTGTGTAATAAAACAAATCCCACTCTTTCCTGTTTGCTTTTTTTCTTTATTATGTAACTGCATCTGATAATTTTACCTCCTTTTTGAAGCTCAGGATATTGGGCGAAGCAGATAAGATGTGTTTGATGGATTTAGCGTGACGTGGAGGCGTTAAGTCTCTCAGTCTGGCTGTCTGTCTCTTTGTTTGTCTCTATTAAAAGAGATTCTCTTGGTCATTTGTAATGTCGCGACGACGCACAAAGACACACTGATGGGTAAATGAATGTCTCGGATTTGTGTTTGCGCCATAGCAGCATGGAGATACGGCGTTGTCTGGCACGCGTAGTTGGCTTTCGGACCTGCCCCGGGCACCTCTCTGGTCTGTCTGTCTCCAGCACAGAGACCAGATATGGAGGCTGCACTTGCAGAAACATCTTTTTATCATAACAGCACAAGTAATGAAAGCCGTATGAGGCTGACCGGGCTCCAAAAATGACTAATGCTGGAACTGTGCAGCCTCGTCAGACGGACAAATATGGAACACGTCGCTCGAAAAAACATGACCTGAGCCGGGCGTCTCTAGGTGGAGGACGGCCCGCAGCGCCCAACTGGCGAGCCAGACTTTCCTTTTCGACAGACATGTGATCAAAGATGAGATCAGACCCACCACCCCACCTCTTCCTCATCCCCGATTTCCCTTGCTTCCTCCACAGCCCTGAGCCATTACTGCTGCCATCGAATGCAGCACAATCAGTGAAAAGAAAATTAACCACGTTTGGGATCCGACTCTCGTTACTGCCTGACAATTATGTCATGCTCTGCGCTTGTGTGCAGGCAGGTACTTGTCAAAAAGAAAATGATCAGGCTCGTTTTGTGATTAGCGGGACCTTGCTCTTGAAGCTGTGGTGCAGTAGTGCAGATCAGAGTCCATCAGCTTTGATCTGTCCCTGCCCCGCCTGCGAGGGCCGAAGTCTATAATTGGACAAAAGCAGACACATACTGTACTGTAGGGAAGCAGAAACAGAGGGGGGGTGGGGGTTAGTGAGTGTGCGTGTGACTGTGTATGTGTGTGTCAATCACGCCGCATGAAAGCAGATCCACCCCCCCGCCTTACAGCTGGCGACAGTGACATCAGTGGGGACGAGAGAGCTGAAACACGACGGCGGGGACGAGCTGGGTGAGACGGCTGCGGTCCAATCATCGGGCCTAGCAACTGATAACTTCCGCAAGACACAGACACCCTGGGAAGGGGAGCTAAGAATAAAACTGTTACGCTGCCACCCCAAAGGTTAGAATGGAGCCACTGTCTGCCTGTCCTCTGGCTAACCCGCGCCAGCATGCTGGAACAACACAGCGACTTGCGCTTACAAAAGGTGGACGCTTTTTCATTTTAGTTACCGCGCACATTCTCCCCATTCTTGACCACTTGTTAGTGCAAGGTGGCTGCACGGAAAAAGCAGCGCTGCTTCTCTCACATGCAGTAGTAAACCAAATACAAGCCACTTGGCTTTAAAAAAAAGATTAGAAAGAAAAGAAATCCCATAAAGATTTATGGAAATATACTCACATGTGTACAAATAAGATGAAATACTAATGAAATGCACAAAGGCCAGAAAGGAGACGGGCTAGTGCATCGCATCGATGGGGGCGAGCGGCTGCTGGATTCTGGCACAGAGTTGTCAGGGAAAAAAACTCTAAGGAGCACCAGGCTGCGCTGGGAGCTAATCTGAGCCGCGGTTTGCCACGCCACATTGTGGAACAGGAAGGGGCGCTCACGGAGGCCCCGCAAAACTCAAGCAGAGTTACACACTGGGCTGAAAGGAGCCTGGCATGGGGGATTCTGTCACAGAGGAACGCTGCACCTCCCTGCCAAGGAGAAGAATTAAGGCCCTGTAACTGTATGCCAGTCTGTGGTAAGAGAGCCCGAGATAATAGGAAATGGCTGAAGAAGAGGAGAGTGACTGTGTGTGTGTGTGTGTGTGTGTGTGTGTGTGTGTGTGTGTGTGTGTGTG